GTAAAGCAGACTCGTGATCTATCTCTAAGTGGTCTCAGTGCCACTAGATGGGACACAGCACCACACCCAGGAGGTGTGTGGGTTACAGTAACTTGATATGAAATGTTATATGCAATGAGTAAAGCTAGGAAGGAAACCCCCAGAATAAATGGGTTTTCCTCTGATCTCTGTCTGTTACAGTACTCTTTGGTATCACATGTAACGCTAAATAGGTCAAATATTTTCAGATAGGAGCATGATAGAAGGTGAAAGTGTTGGTTTAGTATCTTTTATTGACCAACGGAGAATTTTATAACACAAAAACGTTCAGACCAAGAGGGATCTTTCCAGATTGAATTCCCTATATCCATCCATATTTTTAGACAGACCATTCCCCATCTCATCTCAGCTGCAGATGGGATAATTAAACCCAGGGGAGATGATCAGCCCTAACTGTAATAGAGATTGTTTGGAGGGAGAGGGGGAACATATTTTGAAAGTGTTTTCTCCAAGGGGAATGACTTGCCTCACATTAGTGTCAATGTGAAAATAGTTAATTAAAAATAGCACTTACCATCCTTCTGAACAGTGACTGCTTGCAGTCACCAGCATGGGAACCCAAAGTGATGCCTCAGTCCTACTAGCTGATCAACACTGGTGTGCCCCATTGGGTGGCAAAACAGGCAAGATCTGCTCTCAGTGAGCCCCATTGACAATCACTGATCACACCCACATAGATCAACTTGCAGGACCTGTGTCTTAGGCCACAGCTACACTGCAAACTTTGGCTGACACAAGTTACATTGGCGCACAGCCGTCACAGTTAGTATACTGCGTGTGTGTGTGTGCATATGTAACACCGACCCGACCCCGGTCATTGGCAGGTGGGATCAAACAAGGAGTAATTGACAGAACAAGGAATAATGGCCTCAAGTTGCAGTGGGGGAGGTTTAGGTTGGATATTAGGGGGAAAAAAATCACTAGGAGGGTGGTGAAGCACTGGAATGGGTTACCTAGGGAGGTGGTGGAATCTCCTTCCTTAGAGGTTTTTAAGGCCCGGCTTGACAAAGCCCTGGCTGGGATGATTTAGTTGGGGGTTGGTCCTGCTTTGAGCAGGGGGTTGGGCTAGATGACCTCTTGAGGTCCCTTCCAACCCTGATTTTCTATGATTCTATGAACCTGGGACCTCAGGAGCTAAATGCATGACTCTCTACTGTATGAGCTAAAAGCCAGGTGGCCCTAGGGCTGTAGCAGGCTCATTAATCTCTAAGTGGTCTCAGTGCCACTAGAGGGAACAGATCACCACACCCAGGAGGTGTGTGGGTTACACATACTTGGCTCCTTGTGTCGGCGCTGCGCATACTCACCAGGAGCGCTTGTGTCAATGCACAGTGCAGTGCGCCATGGGTAGGTATAGCAGTGTGCAACTCTCCACCTCCAGCCCACTGCCCTTTGGGAAGCGTTGGCAATGCATGATGGGGCAGAGACGAGTCGTGCAGGGGTGCTGGGAGCAAGGGGTAAACTTCCCAGGGTGCAACTGTCTCCATCCCATAATGTCATCTATATCGCATAATTTCCGCACCTTTCTTTAAAATTCCACAAACCCGCATTGCCCTTCCCCTTGTGCGCCATCTCTGACAGAAGCATAGAGCCTGCCCAGCGCTGCACCTTTGTCACAAGCGTTGCAAGCACAAGGGGCATGAGCCTCCGGTATTTGCAGAGCCACAAGAAGAATTGACTCAGTGGGGGACGTGACAGTATCCCTTCTTCTGCATCCCCCGTGCAAGCTGCTCATAGATGTCCACCTCTCTATGGGTGGTCTGGAGTTGTGCCTGTATGGCCTCTTCTCCCCACAGGCCCAGGAGATCCATCCAGTATCTCCTGTCCACTCCCAGCCAGAGCTGGGCAGCGGCACACAACAAGGGAGAGCTGCTAGGTGTCCTTGCCAAGCTGGACCGTGAAGAAAAGGCATTTCAAAAATTCATGTAACTGTAAAGGAGACGGGGGCCTTCCAGTCTCTGTGACCTGAGGGCAGTAGAGTTCACAACCGTGACCAGAGCAGTTGGTGTCTGGCATTGTGGGACAGCTGCTGGAGGACTGTTAGGGTTGACATAAGTAATGCAATGTCTACACTCACGCTATGTCTACATTGCTATATCAACCCTGGCTCAGTGCCACTCGGGGAGATGGTGCTACTGCATCACGGTAATGGGGCACTTACATTGGTGGGAGACAAATTTAAGTGTAGACACATGCACAACTAGGTCAATGCAAGGTGGCTTATGTCGCCCTAACTTTGTAGTGTCGCCCAGGCCTTAGGCTCCACTGCTCCGGCAACTCATGGTGCCCAGGCAGACTCTGCATCCAGTCAGGGTGACTTGCAGGATCGGTGCCTTAGCCAGTACAGCTGGCTTTACTGCGGGTGATTCATGGGATCAGTACAGTGGCGACGGAGTCTTTCACCTCTAGGACTTGAGTCTGATCCTGCCCCAGAAAGAAGTGACCTGTTCCCACTGAAGTCAGTGGGAGTTTTGGCACAGAATTCAATAGGAGCAGGATTGGACTTCAGTAGCTGTTACCATGGGCCTACGTGACATTAACTGCTGACCAAAGATGAACTTTGTGTCCCTCCACCCATTGTCTTACCTTGATCCAGTGTCCTTCACTCTGACCTCACAATGAATATTGTGCCACAGACTCAGGTCAGGGCCTTGCCTTGGCCAGCTGGCACATGTCAAGACCCTTTCCATTCAGCTGGAAACAGTCAATAAGACTTCTGAGAACAACAGTGTTGCCCTCAAGGACCAAGAGGCCCCACCTAGTCCCTCTAAGGCCTCCACTTCAGAGAGATAGCGTTCGGCACACTGGGAGCACCAAACATCTGTAGGCATGTACTTGA